TAGTTCAGATAAGATAAAGTGATGATTCGATTATGGCTTATAGGGAAATGATGTGAATGTTAAATTCAGTGATTTGTTTCAGGAAACAAGTCCGTTTAAAAAGGGCAATTCGTTGTCGTCTTTATCAACGGAAAAACAGTCACGTAAGGAAGATGCAAAAAATTCGGATGATGAGAGTAAACTTAATGAATCGACCGAGCAAATGGTGAAAGGGGAAGAAGTCCGTGTTGTTCCGCCTACCGGGTATGAGCCCATTCATTCACTCATTCACTCAATAGAATTTCTCAAAAAAGCGAAACTTTCTTCATTGAAGTGAACATAGTTTTTTTTTTCAAGATTGTGCTTAAGGTGGATTTTTTTTGCAATCGCATCGAGAATATTTTCAAGCGATCCTACCTTCGGAAATACGTTTCCGTAATCTCTTTCATTTTTTTGTGTCCTTTCACTGAACAGTGAAAAATCTGTTCAGTATGCGAGGACAGTGACAATGCCTTCAGTTTGAAAACACTGTTTGCTTTTTTGCAATATTATGCACTGAAATGATCACATTATCATATAGTTCGTAATTTCATAGTAAACAATATTTGTAATTTGAAAGTGTATGTAATGGTGATTATTTGGTTTAAAGCGGACATCGTCGACGAAGACCGCAAACAATGCGGAAACACACGAACGCTAGACAGAGGTATGACAAATATTGAAATGTTTTGAATTGAAAACTCCCGTCTTTATGTTTTGTATTCTGCATTTTTTAACCATACTTTATATTGAACACTCAAAAGACAAAACTTTTATTTGTGCATATTTTAATTTGGTTTCTGGATACGGAAGGAAATGTTTTTTAAGGAATCGCAGAATATCTTCGTCAGATGATGAATCTTCTAAAGACGATAAAAATGAAGACTCCGTTGAATCAACCCAGAGCATTTCTGTTTCTCATTCCAAGGTTGCTTTTCTGTTGTTTTTCATTGAGTTGCTCGATATGTCAACTTCATTCGATAGTGTCTCTTCAAATGTCAATGAATGAATGAATGTCATTCCAATTAAATCGCCGTAAAAAGCGCAATCAATGCTTCCAGAAATCCGAACCTGTCAAGACGAATACAAAAGAATGCAATGCGAATGCGGTGCGAGATCGGAAAACGCCATCAGAAACGAAAAACGAACATAAAGAAGTATTTTCTGAGTACGGATTCCTTTGTTGCTTCTTAAGTTATAACGCATTCTATACTTTCCATCGGACTGATAATGTAATCTTTCTTACAATTAGGTATTTTATTGAGTGGTGTTGAAAATGAGATAAAATTAATCTTGTTTATTAGCAGTTTCATTTCATTCAAAAGAAAATTGCAAGACTAGTTAAATATTCAGATGTATAACGGTATTACTGATACCGTTATATATTGTTATTATTTACTATGATTTCGATTGAATGACTGATAATATTGTTTAGTAATTTGAGGGTTGTGCCGT